ATTCAAAAAGAATAAACCAGTTTTATTAAATAAGGACTTGTGTCGCTAAAGTTTCGTCGGAACGAAGTTACGGAAAGTTAATTAACAAACGAAGACGTAACAATACTTTCAGAGTTAGCAGTTAATAAAATTGTTGAACTATAAAAATTCAAGCATTTAGTTAGATTAAATTGTAGTTAATTAAATTTTACATGCTAATATGAATGTACACATAATACAAAGTAAAAATTTAACTTACTGAAGTCATTTCTTGCCCAAAAAAGAAAAGAGCATTTGAAGTTTCACTTACAATTTTATTCAATCAAAATTTTAAAAGTACAGACTAACTATCTGTTGAATTTAAAACTAATCAAACAATATCTTTGTCAAAAAAAACTGCAATTAGGCTTCCAAACCTGAAACTTATTTTGCATACTATTCAGATTGGAAGTTACATTGCAACATAGCATGTCATTAATTAAAAAACTGTTTAAATCTCTAAAATTTTTAGCACCACAATGAATTTTCGTAACTCTTATAACCTCTAAGGAATAGAGAAAAATTCTAGTTTAAAAGTTAAATCCTCTTCTCATTGCTTAAAACATAAACTACCTATTACTGTAGTTGCTAGTCTTGGCACTCTTTTTCAACATGGTGGTATACAATCAATGCTGTATACTGATGAGGGCTCAGCAGTCTTATTCAAAGTTACAAAAACCTTGATCTTAACTTTAAAGTTTTTAAAAATAGAACTGAGAACCCCATTTGATTTTCCCTTTTTCCTCATTGATAACAATGAAACAGAGGGCTTGAAGGTTTAATCACTAATTACATTTATCTTTTGCGGTATGCTCAGATTCTCTGACTTCCCCTTCAGTTATTTAGCAGTATCAGCAAATAAAAGGAGGTTTAGTCAGAAAGTGTTATGCAGGAGTAAATTTGAATTCTTTGACCCTTGACAGAGTTTGAAGCAAAGAGACTCAATACAATGTGACAACAGTTTTTGTTCAACATTTAAGCTCTATAAAAATTAACAAGTGCTCACTCATGTTGTTACTGTGCTCTACTCCTGGACTTGAGAATAACTTTAAGGGTTCACAGTTATGTTCACTGTTAATTCTGTTTAAGGCTGTGGTAAAGACTTTAAGACTAACTTAACCAACTGTTCCAGAGGTTGAGCTAGAAAGAGCATAGCATTATATACAAAAACTAGCATGCTATGCTTTTTAAGGAGCATATGTTACCCACATCACTGAGGATTATTTCATAGAAAAATAATGTATGGAACATCTGACTGCCAATGTAAAAGATTGCTGACCACCTGCACATAGTGTTTTATGTTTGACAACAATCTGATGAAGCAGTGTATTAATACTAAAATTTCTAAATACTATCCAAGGATAATTCTTGTTGATATTTCTATACAAAAGTGTGACTGTTAACATAATAACACAAAACCATGATGAGTACTTATTTATAAGACTATCAATACTTTCATTAAGTTTTTATTTTTTTATGCAAGGGCCTATTTTAGTCAAAAATTACACTCCATGTATAACAGGAAAAAGTAACAAAAATTATTCTGGAAAAAGGTATTTTAACAAAAATAGATAAAGAAGTAAGAATGCTTTGAATTTCTATATTTTGTAAAAGTAACTGCAAGATTTGATAATACAAAGTTTCCTATTAATATATTTAAATTTTATTGTTTTAGAGATTACTTTACGGCATCCTCAGTACCATGTTGATTAGACTTTCTTCTGTTTATTATATTAAGTAAGATGATAGTTATGGCTATAGGTTTTTTTTTAATAGTCTAGATGTACTGATATCATAGTGAAGTTTTTAAATAAAGGAGATGTGTAACCTAAAAATGTAATTGTGCTTAATAATCTTCCTCACTGCAAAAACCCCACCATCTCAACAACCCAGAGTTTTCCCAAATTAACAAATCCTTAGAAGGTTTGAGGTTTCCTTCTCTGTCGCCACTTTCCTCTTGGAACTGAAATAAACAGGTTAGTCAGCAGATCTTGAAACCTTTTGGGAATGTTTATATTTTGTAGTAAGTAAATTGTTCATCTGATTCAGTTCAAGTAGGAAAAAAAGAAGTAATACAGTATAGTAATAGTTGCTTGAGTAATGTTATAAAAAAATACACAGTAAAGTACTGTTTAAAGAAGACCTAACTACACTGCTAACATGAACATAGAATTTTGAACCAATTTCCTGTTGTTATGTAATCAATGTTTTGTTACTATAATAATGTAATTCGTTGGCGTTAACCTCAAGTTTTCCTCACACCAGCAACCATTATGAATATGTTGCGTCAGCGAGGTCACGTGATTAGTATCATGCCACGTCCTTCTCGAACCTTCGTGAATTGTTGGGAGATTAAT